CAAAAAAAAATCTAGTGTGTCTTAGTCCTTATAATGTAATCGTACATCACTTTTCTTTGGGTACATGTGGTACATTATTGGCTCTTAGGGTTTGTCAATATGCAGTTTGTATTTGATGCTATTGTTGTTGCTGATTTTACTACTAGAGCCAAGGTGACATATTTATTGCTATCAACTAGTTTTCTCTGTATGATAATATCTACATTGCCTGGGCATCTTAAAGAACAATATGATTTCTTCCCATACAATTGGTTACTGGGCCAAATGACCTGCAATCTCCCCCCCCAAATAGGCAGATGTGGTTAGATCCTAGAACAGAGGCAAAGCCCAATAGCCATGCCCAGAGGATATCTCTGAAAAGTAAACATTAAATTAAGAAGTCTCCACTCTACCAACAAAGCTACCCAATATAATCAACCTGCAAATCTCAGCAGAATAAAAAATAGAAATATGAGAAGACAAGACAACAAAATTCCTCTCAAACTTCCCACTATCCCAGAGCCAAGCCAGGGGGGATATCAAGAGGGAGGAAATCAAAAGCCACACAGCCAAAATATCTAAAAAGATAACAATGTAGGTAACAAAACAGATCACTGAGGTGCTCATTGAGTTCAAAGAGGAGATAACTAAAACAAATGACCCTAACAAAATAAATAATTGGTAAGTCTACAAAAGATACTAATAAACAACTAAGCAGAGCTAAAGAAAGAATGCGAAACACAAATGCCCAGTATAGAAAAGAAGTATCCATAAAAAAGTTCCACACAGAAATCTATGACATTAAAAATTCTATTGAAAGTATGGGCAGCAAAAGTGACCAAAGTGAGGACAGGGTGTTAGACCTACAAGACAGGGTTGTTGATGGTGATCAGTTAATGAAAGATACCTTAAAAACAAGAAGCAAACATGAAAAATGGACCCAACAGCTGATAGAGTATGCAAAGATTAATCAATATCAATTGGAATTAGTGAAAAATCAGAAGACAACACAAATATCATAAAAAGCCTATTTAGAGAAGTAATAGCAGAAAACATTCCAAACATAGGAAAAGAACTTAACATACAAATAACTGAGACTTATAATGTGGTCATGTTGGTGACTGTGGGGACCTCGGGGCTCCTACAATGAGCTGGCCTTTACTGCCTCCAGGTGTCCCAGATGCCAGATGCTACGACTTCATCCTCAGTCAGCACCAATAAGCATGGAAGCTTCTCCAAGTCTGTGATAAGTGGGGCCAGCAAGCACAGAGACATCAACACACAGGATCTTGCTCACAGGTGGAATCACAAGCTGAGCTCACAGAAGCATGATCGTTATGGGGAGCATAGGAGATGTCAGTCAAAGGATCCAAAATTTCAGTAGGCAAGAGGAGTAAGTTGAGGAAATCTACTGTACAACATGACAACTGTAGCTGATATCACATTGTACCTTGAAAATCACCAAGGGTGTAGATGTTAAGTGTTCTCACCAGAGAACCCCATAAAGAGAATTCTACCCCTAAATATAAACCTTAAGGTCATTTTCTATGTTCCATGTGGACCTTTTCCCCGTGCTACCTTGTACCCCAGTGGGAGACCATAGGGGAGCCTGGCCAAAGCTGGTGGACCTTACCTGGAGGCTCAGGAATGCAGGGAGCTGCACTGGACCCAACCAACATTGGATGATGAGAGCCCAGAGTGGAGTCCTGGGAACACTGTGAGCCAGCCATGCAGGCAGGAAGCTCCTGTCTGTCAGACCTTTTAAAGTCACATGGACAGGATAGGCAGGACCTGTGTCGGGCTGGCTCAGTGCCCTGGAGGACTTTGCACCAGTACCTAGATGTGCTGCCCTGGAGGCCTATGGTCTGCCCAGCTGCCGCCCATGCTGCAGTGCCACTGTCCCTGAGGGGAGCTGCTTTCTTCTGTAGGAAGCCAGGAAGGACGTAGACAAGCAGGGCATGGAGGGTGCCCCAAGAGCCAGCCATCCTTCCTCAGCCCAGTGACAACCTGGGAGAGGTAGGGTCCTACTCAAGGTACCCCTAGCTCAGCTACCATCCTGTCTCCAGAACTCAGCAGCAGAAAGTCCATTTCTAGAACTCACTCAGCCTTTGGCAAATTATGAAGTCCCCATTCATTTCACGATGTGTGTGTGTGCCCGTGTGTACATATGCCTGCATGCATAAGCGAGTGTATGTGTATGTGTCCATGCACACATGCATGCATGTGCATGCACAGGGAGGGGGGGGCTCTCTGTGTTGCCAGGAAAAGAAAGCTGGAGTTAGTGGGACATGGGACACACACCTGTGCCTGTCAGAAGAACTGGGTGGGGAGCACATGGCGCCAGCACTGCTGGTCTTGCACCCTTCACCTGTTTCTTCATCAAATGTCTGCTTATTTGGCTTCTGTTTCCTCCCAGTCACTGATTTTGATCTTCCCTTTATACATTCTACTGCTCAGACCCTACATTTAGAAATGTACAGAATTCCTTCTGAAAATCATGACAGTATCTGAGGATCCTGTGCCTTCCAAGGCCCCCTGGTAACTTTGCCAACCCACACCTGCAGTTACTTTGCTGACCAAGTCCATCACGTTTCTCTCCTTCTAAGACTTCACTCCTAATTGAGAAGCCATAGCTGGGCTCATGGCTGCCGCCCCACATACCGCCCTAGACCTTGGGGAGCTTCTCTCTCTCCTGTGCCTCAGCCTCTCCGTGAGTACATCAGGGATCACAGGACTCTGCCACTCCACTTCCGGCTGGTGTTGTGGTAAGCCACTCTTTGGCCAGTTGGGAGGATTAAGCCACTTCACACACAGGGAGCACTAGAGCAGTGCCCAGAGCAGATCGACCCTGCACACACTGCTCAGGATCACCCTGGCTTCGTCTGGCCTCACACCAAGCTCAGGAGAAGCTCCACAGTGTTCCCTTCATTGCTGCCAAGATTACAGCTTGGCTCCTCTGGCAACACAGGGTACTACTCCTGAAGGACTGTTTTGTTTGTACAGGATGAACACAGCACAATAGGAAAATGAGTGGAAAAAAGAGGAACTGTTATTTTGATTGGAGTTTTATAAAATCTAGGTATCATTTTTGGTGATATAGTCATCTGACAATATTGATTATGCCTGTCTAGGAACAGGGGATATCTTTCCTTTTTTTTTTTTTTTTTTGTACTGGGGACCTTGTGCTTTCGAAGCAGGCATCCATTTTCGGTTATCTTCTTCAATCTCCATTTTCAGAGCACTACAATTTTCCTTATGGATCTTCTGCTTCCTTGTTTAGATTAATTCCTGAGTATTTTTTTTCTTTGAAGCTGTTGTCAATGGAACTGTTTTCCTAATTTCTTTCTCCACAAATTCCTTGTTGGTGTATAGGACACTACTGATTTTTGTGAGTTGATTTTGTAACTGCTTGCAAAGATTTCAGTGTGCTGCAACAGTGAGCTCAGGTTGGCCCTTGACTCAGGGGCTCTGAGCTCACAAATGCTGTGGACTCAATACAGAAAACAGCAATGATCACTCAAACATGAACGGTGAGTGGAGCCACCTGTCCTTGTTCTGTGTCTCGTAATCACGAGACTGAACCTCTGTCCAGGGTGGAGGATGGGGTATGCCAAGGAAGAGGCATTGTCTGTCCTGTTGTTGACCTCGGACTTCATTGCATGTTTTATTCTTTTTGTTACACACATCTACACTTGTTCAATCATTAGTTGTACAAAGCTGTGTTTCTTCACTTCAAGTTGTGAGCTGCATTTACCTTAAAATGTTGATTTTGTTTTTCGAGAAGAATAAAAGGTAGTTTTATTTTTCTGGTTATTTTTGTTAGTATATGTTTACAGTGAGATGTGTTAAATAGAATGAATAGAGTCCCCATGATGAATCTAAAATGTTGATTTTAGCCATCAGTCACACGTGATTAAGTTTCTGTGTGTTTGCAGGTGAAATTCAACTTGTTTAAAGAAACAATTTTTTTTTAATTAGAAGGAAGCAAAGAGGTTAGCATTTAACCTCCTTGTTAAATTTTATTTTTAAAAGTACCATAAGAACGCTGCAACAGACCAACTTTAAAACATAAGTAGTCTTTGTTATCAACACTTGGTTAGCCTTTAATGAATGACCCACAAAAGTGCCTAAGTTATGAAGGCCATTTAAAGCAGAAAAAGGTTGGGGGGGGTGAATTCTTTCCTGAAGACATTGGAAACAGGGCCTTAAATCCTGACTATACTCATTAGCCTTTGAGAACTACTAATTTAAGCATCCCTAACACAACTTCAGTTTTACTTATTTCTCATGGATTCCTCTAGCTTTAATTTTTAGAGTTATGAAAGATGTCCCTAGGGAATAATTTGCTGTTCTATTTACTCTGTTCAACCACATAAATTATACAATGTTCATTTTGTGAATTTAACAAACAGGTTACCCTGACTCAAGCCAACCACTGTGTGATCTCTGACCCCAACCCACCATCACTGGGGATCAGAGACCCTGCCTGAACCCCTGAGAGGCCCATGTGGGTCACTGTAGGAGAGCAGCCAAGCTATGGTGGAGACTCCTGGGAGTCGAAAATGCCAGTAACATGGAACCCCTGCCCAGCAGAGATGCAGGCAGTAAGCAGAGCCAGCCCAGCCCAGAGGTGCGGAAGACTCAGCAGCAGGGGGCCCAGACCCTGTGGAGCTCACAGCTCAGAAGCCATGCCTGGAGCTAAAGGACTCAGTGCTTCCCTGACAGGTTTTGGTTTCTTGTCTCACCACAGGCCTGAAAACAACAGAGCCCTCTGAACATGGACTGAAACCTTTGAAGCCATGATCCAGAATTAATCCTTCCTCTCTGAGTGGATCACTCCCAGGCATTTTGTCACAGCCGTGGAGAGCTAAGAGAGGTCCAGCGTCAAACTTTCTCCACCAAACTGGTCATGTTTTCCACGAGTTCTTCTCTGAGGACATACAACCTTTAACATCTGAGGCAGTAGGCAAGAAAATTTAACCTTAGCATCACACTTTGTGTCCAGAATTCTCCACACTGTGAATTCGGAAGCTTGATTCTTGGGAAGGCAACCGTGGATTCCCTCTGAATGTGTCTCATGTGTGACTGTGGGACTATAAAACATCACCAGCCAGAGACGGCAGGGAGATCATTTACAAGAGTGTTTGTGATGGGCCGGGGATTTAGCTCAGTGGTTCCGGTGCCTGCCTTGCAAGCGCAAGGTCCTGAGTTCGATCCCTGGTACCAAAAAAAAAAGAGCGTTTGTGAAAAGAAACAAATTTATTAAAATTTTGTCCCAGAACTATGGAATTCCTCTCATCAGCACATACTTCCAAGACTGTTACACATTGCAAGGTAAATATCTCTGATAGTCTCAAACACATAACAAAATGAAAAAATAGTACAGAATCATCACTTTTGTCTTCAACTTCACTGCTGCCTGAACCACATCTCCCACTGAGCGCGTTCCAGCCAGGAGAGGATGGGGAGAGAATGCCCTGCACAGACAGAACTAATTATCCAGGAGCCCACATACTGCAAGCTGGACCATGGAGACAGCAATTTTTAGGGCAATAAGAGAAACTCTTGTCACTGCAGACACTGAGAAGTAACAAATTAAGCTTTGCATAATTAAGTTTTAATGTTGACTCTCATTTGTTAATGGTTATGAACAGGAGCCAAGTAGTAGATTGGAGGAAAAATCTAAACTCCTATTTACAGAAAAGATAGGTCTGACCTGTTAGAGGGAAGAAGGGGAGTCGCAGGCACTTAGACTTAGGAGGGGCCTGCAGGGTCTCCTGAAGCAGAGGCCAGGATCTCCAGGAAGCCCCCTCTGCCCTGCAGCCCACAGGGTGCTGAGCTCTGGGTCAGAAGTGGTTACAGAAGCTGCTCTCTTCCCACACCTCCCTCCCTGGGTGCAGCTGTGAATACACTAGGTATGGGCTCTGCCAGGCTCTTACTGGACTTGAACGTGTATTGGTGCCTGGCATCCTCAGGTCCTGGTTCCCAAGATTCTCTGTCCTCTCTTTGTTCCTCTGTTGCTCACCCCCAGGGCCCTCCCCTTCCTCTTATTCTTCCTGCTGTCTAATAATAGTCTCCCTCCTATTCTCCTGTCATCATATGGATGTCCACATTAGGGAGAACCTGTGATAGTTTTCCTTCCAAGTCTGGCTTACTCCACTCAACATAATGATCTCCATTTCCATCTGTTTTCTTGCAATGACTTCAGCACTACTTCAGAAAGTGGCAAGAGCAATGGGACAAATGTGTCATTTATGCTCACTTCCAGGTGCGCTAAGCAGTGGGGAAGATTCTGAGTGGAATTAGTGGCCATGTGTCTTTACTATAAGAAAGGTCTTGAATTTAAACACTCATCCTGTATTTTGATCACACGTTATAACCTTGTCTGATGCTTGGTGACATCTACACACAGGTGACAACACACACGTGGTGGAACACAGACATACACAGACCCCTAATGTATGCACCTACACACAATCCTGGAACTTACTCCATTACACTTGTATCTCTCTCTATCTGAGGTCTGAGTGATTCATCATATAAACAAAAAGAAAAGCCCTTAAGTCAATTTAACACATGAATCAATACCTACACAAATATGTATTTTAATAAATCTACATACATATCTATCACACTACACATATTTTTAAATATCACAAAACATAAACTTATCAATAAAAAACTGGGATGAAACAGACTATGAC